ACCCACCTCTGCCTTCCCCCATGCTCACCTGCCATATTTCTCTGTTTATCAGAGGATCCCCAATCTGATCCCCAGTCAGCCCCTCCCTAAGAAGGCAGAGATGCCCTCTCCTCCCGCTGCACTACAGACAGGACAGCAGAGGCTTGCGCTTGAAGGAACCCCAAAGCCTCTGCCCCGGGAATCCTAGAATCCCAGACTTGGAAGGACCCCGAAGAGTCTGACCGGCTCTACAGCCAAGAGTTGGCAAACTGGCCCCCTGTTCGTTTTTGTAAATAAAGTTTTATCGGTACAAAGCCACGGCCGTTCATTTCCATGTTGTCTATGGTGGCTCTGAGCTATGAAGGACAAGTGAGTGGTTTTGACCCAGACCAACTGGTCGGCAAAGCCAAAACCATTGAATGTCTGGCCTCTTGCAGAAAACGCTTGCTGACCGCTTTTGCACAACATCCCTTGGGTCTGGGATGTCCCCCGTGACAGCACTTTCTTCCCTCTGGAGGCCCCCTTGTCTCCTCCTGTGTAACTGGTTTCTCCCCCCGGCCCCCAGCCCCTGTGCCCTCCGATACCTCCCGGTGCCCCCACACTGAGGACTCACCACGGGGGACCGTCCATACACCACAGAGCCGCTGACCTGGGGGGGCAGGTGGAGGCTAACGTAGGAGCTGGGCACAGAGAGGTCCCCATTGAGGGCGCTGTGGGAGCTCAGGCTGAAGGACGTGGTGAAGGGACTGGACAGGGTCAGGGGGCTCCTCAGGGCTGAGTGAGAAGAGACAAAGATAGGTCTTCAGACACCTTGGACCCAGATCCGGCCTTCCACTGCCTTGGCTGGTCTTTCGGGGCTGCTGCGTTCCGGTCCAGCATCCACCACACCCTGTCATATGTCCAGATGTTTGAGCATACCGTTCCCTCTGGCTCATATGCTGTTCCCTTTCCTTCCTCGGTTGCTGAACTCCTACTCACCCTTTGACACCTAGTGGACCCAAAGTCCAGCAACATCTCAGGAACATCACTGAGCCTGCTCGCCCCACCCCTAGCCCGTTCTGGCCCACTGTCTCCATCCCCGCCACGATCACACGGGGCTGGAAGCTTAGGGGTCTGCGTCTCCGTCCCCACTATCTGGGAACTCCTCGAGGGTGCGTTCCAGGGCTGATTTCTTTCTGGGAACCCAGAACCAGCGCGGGGCCTGGCCGTATGACAGCAGAGCCCACGTTAACGAGGGGGGACCCGAGGCTCAGAAAGTTTGAGTCGCTTGCCCAAGGTCATGCGGCTGACGAGTAGTTATCCAAGGCCGGCCTCAAACCCCAGGCTGTCTGACGCCAAAGCTTGTGTTGTCCGTGCAGAAGGCTAAACCTCTTTGAGTAGATCGCCTCCCCTCTGGGCCTCTGTTTCCCCAGCCGTCCAGCCAAGACAGGAAACCGAGGCCCGGGGTGAGGCGGCACTGGGCTCAGAGTCCTGGAAGGGGTCAAGGCCATCCCAGAGCTGAATCCAACCCCCCAGAAGAGACCTGCTCGGGCCCCAGTGGACACTCACCGACACTGTCCGTGCCAGGCGTTGGCTTCGTAGCAAGCTGGCGGAGGTGACTGGCTGAGCTGGGCCCTGGGGTGGGCGCGTCCTGAGGCGGGGAGGAGTCGCAGGACTTGGGGGCGGGAGTGCCGGCGGGAAGATCATTCTGGGGAGAAAGGTCGGGACTGAACGCCCCACCCCCACCCTGGCACCAGCACCTGGCCCCTTGCTGCCCACAATCTGGTGAGAAATTGGCACGGGAGGAGGGAGCTAGGCAGGGGCTCACAGGAGGTGTCTGCACGCCGAGCACGTGGGGTTCAAGGGCATGGGCCCCACCGCTGATGCCCTGAGCACAGGGACACGCGGGATCCACAGGCCGGGAGCGCCAGGCGGGCAGCAGAGTCGGAATGGGCACGCACTGCCCGCAGGGCTGCACACGGCGTGGGGAGGGGGACCGGCACCCGCTGCCAGAGCCCAGCGGGCACAGGATCAGGTATGAGGAGTGCGGGTGTAGACAGGCCTCAAGCAAGGGCACACGGGGCAGGGAGCGGGCATTGCGGAGGAAGGCGACAGTCGGAGGACTCAGGAGGGGGGCAGCACAGGCCTGCACTCAGGCGAGGGACCGGCAGCCAGCACTGGGGTGCCCCTGGCTGCTCTCAGGGGGCGGGGTGCCCCTGCAGCTGTCTCTCCCTGCGGGGACACCTGAGGAGAGGGGGAGGGGATCTCCAAGGAGGAGCACACGCGCTGTCGTCTCTCTGCTGTCACCTCCTTTGCCTTTCAAGAAACTTCACGTCCCCGTCCCGTCTTTCCACTACACAATCACGTGTTTCCTGCCAACCCCACTCCACGAGGGGGAGTGGGTGGGGACACGTGGGACAAGGGAGGCCTTCTGGGGGCTTCTCCCGGAGAGCAGAGCTGCCCCTCCCCCTCTGGCCTCCCGGAGTGGAGGAGGTCACAGGAGATGCAACCGTCAGCCCCAGCCTCGGCGGTTGCCATAGCAACCTGCTGGGAGGGGAGGCCTAGAAACCGACGCACTCTCTGGGTAAGCGCAGGGCAGGGGTCTGGGGAAGATTTGGTGAGGGCAGGGGTGGGACCAAACGGAGCCCGGCTGGGAATGCCTAAGGGGCGTGCTCTGAGGGGTTCCTACACCTGGCACTGGGAAAGTTGTTCCCATAGTAATGCTCTTGCCTTTCGGGAAGGGGGGGAAGCGGGGGACAACCTCTCAGGTGGGGCTGCTGTATCTCCCGCTTCTCCAAGGCCTTAACACTTGCCAGGCTGGAGTCAGTCCCAGAGCAGCCATTCTGCAGCTGAGTGTGTTTATTTCCAAGGGATTTCCTATTTATTGCAAGAGATGCTTCCCTTTCTCCCTAAGAGGGTGAGTGGTCTTTTGATAATGTATTTAGGTTCAACAGAGCACGTGGACTTGGGGAAAATACCTGGATGAAGTCGAGGCAGATTTTAGGAAGGTGGCAAATAATCATGAAGGAAATGCCGGACAACCCGCTGGAAAGACCCCAGCCGGGCTGGTGTCTCCTTGCTCGACATCTAATCGGGTGGCATCTGTTTCCAGGTCCCCAGGGTGCGGAAAGTGAGTTTCAAGGCCTCCCCTACTCCTTACCAGGACAAGCTCCTTGGCTCTGGGGAGCGGGGAGCCGAGGCTGGAGGCCAAAGAGGCCGGACTGTCCACGAGGTCCCGACGGGCGGGGACGCATATGGGCGCCTTTCCACATGGGGTGATAGCTGGGCTGGGGGGCTCCGAGGGTTGGTCCTGGGTTTGAGGAGGTGACATTGAGTGGAGGTGAACTGGGCAAAGAAGGAGAGCCCCTCTCTATATACCCCTCCCCAACCCCACCCGCACTCCAGCCTGGGTCCCTCCTACGATCCACCTTGGGAGGATTATGAACCCCCCCCCCGCCCCCGTGCCTTACTTTACGCATCTGTAAAATGGGGTTGATAGTACCTACTCCATAAACCCACATAGAAACGACTGTGTAAGGGCTTGGCTCTGTTGTCCCCCATTAAACAGATGGGGAAAAGTGAGGCCAGGGACGGGGGCGTACTGTCCCAGTCACACAGTGAGCCAGGGCCGGATCCTACTTCTGCTGCCCCATTGCCAGGGTTCTCTGGGCCTCAGTTTCCCCACCTGTGCTATGGAGAGGGGGTCAGCCTGGGGTGTCCCTCTATCCCCTACTGCCCCTACCCCCACATCACCCTCAACACAGCCATCCACAGAGGGGGCCAGGACGCCCCCCTCTTCCCTCTGGGTCCCCCAACACTCGGGAAAGCCTGCCACCCTCTGAGCCCAGACCCCGACTCACCTCGTCCACCACCAGGTTGTAATCGCTCTTGTCTTCATCACTCTCCTGGGGGGACACGGGGGAAAGAGCTTGCCCTGGCCATGCCGCTACCTCCGTGCCCCCTTACTGATCTCAGGAGACCGCCAGCCGCGGTCTGACCGGGATTCTGGGGCTTCAGAGGCCCATGTGCTTAGTTCAGAAAGAAGGCTGCCGTTTGCTCAGGTGCAAGGGGTTGGGGGCGGGTCTCTCATGGAGAAAAATGAGGGGATGGGACTTAGGGCCCAAGACTTGCTGTGGGGCCCCGAGTGCCTCCCGGCCCTCCCTGGGTCCCAGTCTCCTCCTCGGTGACGGGATGGGACGGCCGGGGACCAGGACTCATCCATAAACTCCCAACTGGCTCTCTCTCCACGGAGCCAGTCAACCTCTCGGGATCGTCTGCCCACCACCATCCCCATGGCCTAGCACAGACCTCATCCCCTCCTTAGGCTCCTGGCCTTCAGCCTCGCTCCCTCCAGGTAGCCTTCCAAGCTTGCCCCAGAGGACTTTCTTTACACCTGTCCCCACATCTGTACTACGTCCTTCTATGGCTCCCCACTGCCCTTGGGAGAAACCCTGGCGTGTGGGGCTGCTGGAAAAGCAAGGGAAGACCAAGGCTGCAGCCTGAAGGCCACATCTCCCAGCGGGGGGGGGGGGGGG